AGTCAATAATTAATAAAAACTTTTCTTTTCCCACATAAGACTTTAAACAACGGTTGAGAAAGTCAATATACAGTCCTGTCGTTAGTTTCCCAGATTTCGAAGATGTTATTATGACATTTTTATATTTTTGCGCATATTCATTTACTGTTTTTTGAACTCGGGGGCCAAAGTTACCAGTTGCTTCTTGTAAACAAACAAATACTTCAGGTAGGACTTTTTCAGACAGAGTGAGAGCATATTGAGCGGTATATGTATGAGTCACTTTATTCATGTCATGCCTTTTGACGGAAATAGTTTTGCTTCCTTTTTTATCTAAGGTCCTGTTGTACACCGACTGATACTGACATCCTGGAAAGAGAAAACAACTGAAATTTAAGTATTTTGTCAGAGTCGTAAAAATAAAGAGCAAAATGAATTTGTAAATACTCTGCAATAATTTACCTGTCTGGTCAGTGTTGATAACAAAATTGTTGTTGAAATTCGGTATCAATTTGAACGTCTGGGTTCGAAAAGTGTCTGCAGAAGCCAACATTTCTTCAATCGTCGCTGTTTCTTTTTTTGAAACAAATTTTGTCACTTTTTGTTGACGAATTCCTTGCTTATTTTTGAATTTATGAACACAACTGTCAGAAGCTTTAAATTCAAAATCTGTAAATTGTTGTGCTGCTGCTAAAGCCCACTGTTGTAAATTCCGAGTAGTCGCTTGTTGATAATTCTCTTGGGCTTCAACAAAACGATCATGTGTCCAGGAATTGATTGTTTCGTACTTATCAAATTGATTTCCTCCTTTTTTTATCTCTTCTTCCCATTGAGATAAATATTCCTTCTTTTTTAACCGGCTGCATTCTTTTTGTTGCAATGTTTGTGGATTCCACGTGGGGTGAGCCTTTGCAATATTAACAACTTTAATTTTGTAATCCAAAGAAAGATGGTCTACCTCTCTCTTTTTTTTTTTTTTTCCTTCTGGTTCATATTCATCTGATGAGCTATGGTCTTCGACATTTTCAAAAGGTTCCTCATCACAGTTTTCATTTTCATGAGCAAGTTCTTCATCAGTCACAAGTATTTTTTCAGCCAGCATGTCCATAGTATGTTCGTAAATTTCTTCACCCATCAACATTGCTTCACGAGAAGTTGAAGTTGAAGATTCTGATGTAATCAAATTATTTTCAGCAAGTAAGCTTTCGTAATAAATGACCGCATCTTTTAACCTCAACTTTGGCATTTCACTGTATAATGAATCTTGACTGATTTCATCTGCAGCTTCTGATACTTTATTAATTTCTTCATTAACAGACATTTTCAATTCTCAATAGTTTAAAAATTCCGATAATATTTCACAGTACATAATGCTCCAATCTTGCGAAAGTCAAAAATGAACTAGCACGTTAGTTTGAGTTTCTAGAATAATAAGGATGGATAAACCTATATATATCGTGTGAGACTCACTACATAATCAGTTTACTTACTTACAAGTTAAATCATAACATAACTTCCTAAAAATATCATTTTGTCGGATAACTGTCAACTTTCACACCTGGATGCTAATCATTCAGTGAGTTCTCACAAGTCAGCAGCAAAAGTGACGCTTTCACATAACCTTTCACCTATGGTGGTAAGTTCATTGGTTGAAGATAACAAAATAATTAAAGTTTTAATTTACCTCCATTAAAAATGCATTTGAAATTATTCAACTTTTGAAAAATAAAATGTTATCTTCAATTCACATTTTAATCCACTATAACACTCATTTCATAAATAAAATAAAAGTATTTATGATTTAATTGATAATATTTTTACGTCATTAACTTTATTTAAAAGTTTTTATAATTTTTAATTCAATGAAAAAAAAAAAAGTTTGCCAAAGGTAGGATCGAACCTAGGTCGCGCCACATTGCAAGTGAGTACACTACGGACTCAGCCACTTCACTGTACTGCCATAATGTAGAATCGATCAGTATATAAGCTGCGCTTAAAATTTTAGAGCCTTTTTTTCTCGGAATCTTCTGGCTAGTGCACTTTACAATTCTTCTGGGTGGACACCCTTGAGGTATACTAGTAACCTGCCAAGTCTCATCCCGAACTGAATTTCTGAGACCGTAAAGTCCCCTTGTAAAACCAAAACTTCACTCAAGAAGCTAACTTTTATATTGTCTAAACATTTTAAAGAAGTGTTATCTATCTTCAGTGACTTATACACAGTACATGGCATTTTTAAATGCTAATAATAGACATACCATACATAGTGCTTTTTTAGGTAGCCAAATATTTTTTATTACATATAAAAATGTTTTTGGTTTTTTAGGCTAGCTTTGTTTACAGAAAAAATCCAGCAATGAGTTGTGTAACTTTCCTGGCTGTTATGAGATTTTATTAAAAATAAAACTTTTATATTATTAATCACTAGCTGTGCCTGCAGTTTTGTCTGGGTGGAATTCAGTTTGTGACTATAACAGTATCAGTTAGATATCTTTTAATTTATATGAATGTTTAATGGAATAATATACTGCCTATGTCCACCCTGAAAGTCCATTCTAAATATTGGTGAAAGAATTTTAGANTATTTTTTATTACATATAAAAATGTTTTTGGTTTTTTAGGCTAGCTTTGTTTACAGAAAAAATCCAGCAATGAGTTGTGTAACTTTCCTGGCTGTTATGAGATTTTATTAAAAATAAAACTTTTATATTATTAATCACTAGCTGTGCCTGCAGTTTTGTCTGGGTGGAATTCAGTTTGTGACTATAACAGTATCAGTTAGATATCTTTTAATTTATATGAATGTTTTAGGAACACATACGGGACAAAAGATATTCATTATTTTAAGCAACAACAAATAAGCAAATGTTCAGCACAAGTTCAGACACGTGCACTGCGTATCTCACCGATTACGTAATGGCACTGCGCAGTTACCTATCTCGTATACGTACACATCTTGCTTCTCACCACCCGCTGACACCAAAAATATAACACTTACCTAGATGATATCTTTTAATTTATATGAATGTTTAATGGAATAATATACTGCCTATGTCCACCCTGAAAGTCCATTCTAAATATTGGTGAAAGAATTTTTGAAATCTGATGAGTAGTTTCGGAGATTACCTCCTACATCCAAACTTACAAACTTTCTCTCTTTATAATATTAGTATAGATAATAAATTAAAGTGTGTGTGATGCCATCTGTTATGAGATTTTGTTATAAAAACTTTTTATATTATTATTAGGAAATGGCAAAAAACTTGATTTTGAGGGTAGGGATGATTTTCATAAAAATTGTAAATGCTAATAATGAGTAAAATTTTAAGTCCAACCTCTCTTGAAATATGATGTGATCCATCTCTATAGCCTCACCCCTTGATCTTTACCTCCAAAATTTAACAGCATCAGTGCCCCTTACATACAAGTTTCTGTGCCAAATTCATTTCTTAATCTTTACCCATCTTGAGATATTAAACAAAACAGATAACAACACACATGTGCACATGCATTATATATTTTGGGTAACAGTTCTTTGGCTTTTTGGGTTTGGAAGTGTCAAAACATCGCAATTCCAAAAACCTGGAGGGTCGAATGTGATATGATTACGATATTATAACAGTCGGGAATGCAATCCATGTTACATTAAAACAGCCAGGAAAGTAATGAGAAAGTAAAAATTTGAGATTATTGCAATACTTTCAAGTGCTGTTATAACAGTCAGGGACTAAAAACCAAAAACTTTTTGATTTATAATAAAACATTTGGCTACCAGAAAAAAATCAGTGTGGGTTTCTATTTTTACAAAATGGTGTTAAGAATTTTACAGTTTAAGGACTAACTGCCTTACATTTCATTGCATAACCTAAAAATTTCCACTCTAAAGTTATTTTTAAAAATCTTGACCAGTCCTACAAAAGTGACCTGAAATTTCATATACAGTAGATCCCCCTATAACGCTTAGATACGTTCCACGCTAACCGAAAATTACGTTGTAGGAACGATTAAATACATGAGCCAATCGCAGCCCGATAGGTGGGAACTTTACGGACTAAGGCTGTTCGAAAGGTTTTCTTCTATAAAATTAACCGATTCTAGACTAATTCGACTCAACATTTCCAAAACACGTATAATTTTTTGGGAGTAATCCGTATAAACTATGCTATAAACAAAAAATTATAGGATTACTTACCGAGTGTGTACCGTTCGACTACGCCCGTTGTTCAAAGCTTGTCTTCGTCGCGGAACAGCACACGAAACGGCGGCCGCGATATCTGATAAATAATTTATCGCAGAAAGATAACTTGACCTTTGGAGACATCATTAATATAAATAATTTTTATGGCCGTTGAATAAGAAGTGTTTCTTTCACAAGAAATGTATAAAATTAGTGCTGTATTAGACTTACGGTACCTAATTTACATACTGTGCAGACGATAATAAACTCAACTTACTAGCCTAAAATCTCCGTAGCGTGTTGCCAGGCGGCAGAAAGCATATATATAATTATAATAAAGTTACAATAAATTAAGTTAATATATAATTATATATACAGTACCTAATTTATATATAATTAATATATAATTATATGTACAGTACCTAATTTATATATAATTTATATATAATACTAAACAGACGATAGCAAACTCAATTTAGCCGCTCCGTAGCATGGCGCAGGGTCGGAGGTAAATAGTTCGGCTGCTCATCCACTATTGGTCCAGACTCTATCAATCTTCTCGCGAAACGACGTTATAGGAGGTACGTTATACGAAAGTTGCTACAATTTTTTCGCTACGTTATAGGAATTGCCGTTATAGGAACGTACGTTATAGGGGGGTCGACTGTATTAATTAATCAGTACCACTTGAGAGTTAAGTTAAAGGAAAAATATTGTTAAAAAATTTTTTTTTATTAATTATTAATTTCTTATTGTTTAGATGTTATGAAATCATAGATTAACTTAAAAAATATATTAAACTCAAAAAAACTTTATTTAAAAAGTTTTTATATGTATTTTTCAGCTGTCCCCCTCGAACTTTCCTTCCAGCTTTATGTCGCATTTTCTTAGATGAACAAGCTCCTGATAATGTTTTAGAAGTAACAGCACGAGCTGTTACTTATTATTTAGATATTTCGGCTGAATGCACTAGAAGGATTGTTGCTGTTGATGGGACCATTAAAGCAATGTGCAATCATTTAGTTGTAACTGATGTATCTTCAAGAGCTAGTAAAGATTTAGCAGAACAGTGTGTTAAGGTATGATTTCAGATGTTTTTTAAAAATTATTGTAAATCAGCATTTTATAAATATAATAATAAAACATTTTTCCACAAGGTTTTAGAATTAATATGCACAAGAGAAGCTGGAGCTGTATTTGAAGCTGGTGGCTTAAATTATGTTTTATCGTTTATTCGAGATAATGGATGCCTTGTTCACAAAGATACTCTACATTCTGCTATGGCTGTTGTTTCAAGATTATGTGGTAAAATGGAACCTCAAGATTCTTCATTGCCTTCATGTGTTGAAGCATTATCTCTGTTATTGAAACATGAAGATAGTCATGTAAGTTCATTATTAGTTAATTTGAGTACAAAATTTTCTTGATTGTCAGCTGAAATTTATTGATATAATAATGTAAAAATAATTGTAAATTTAATTTAAAATGCAAAAATAACATAAGCAATGTAATTAAATTGTTTACTTTTGCACTTATCAAGCTTAAAAAAGAAAAAAGATACTTACTCATCATTTTCTATAATTTTGTCTGAAAAACTTCATTTGTAATGGAGACAATAGCATAACCACAACAAAACGTTCTGTATTTAAGCAGTGTAGTTTTTGGTTATCATTTTGATTTGATATCAATAAAATTCAAAGCTTATTTCCAGGAATATAATTTTAATTTATGACTTTGAAACTCTGGGAATTAGAATTTGACTTATGATGTCTCGATTATTTTCTGAGAATTAATTAGATCATAAGATTGGAACTCTGACTGTATTTAGTCTATTTAGTTCGATTGAGTATTATTTTAATATTTTGATAATTGAATCACAAAAAATTATATATTTCTTACATTAGATTATATACTTAGTGGCTAATAAATTAGACACCCCCTCTAATAATAAGTTGGTCCATCTTTATCTCTGATCACAACCGATATTCTTCTTGGTATGGACTCAACATGTTGCTGATACCATTGCTGAGGAATGTTGGCCCATGCTAACATAATGGCAGCTCCAAGTTGGGTCAGATTGGATGTTGACGTTTCCAAGCTTTGAAGTGATCTTTTGACTTTGTCTCACAAATGCTCCGTAAGATTGAGGTCAGGGGACTGAGCTGGCCATGGAAGCAGGTAAACTGTGATTGATGTTCCTCAAACCAATTTGAGACCAATTGAGCACGATGACAAGGTGCATTGTCCTGCTGAAAGTGACCATCTCCATCAGGGAACATTACAGTCACAAATGAGTGTACATGATTGGCAACGATGATGAGGTAAGCTCTTCTATTCAGATATGTGTCCACAAATATCAAGGGACACAGTGTGCTCCAGGAAAACATTCCCCATACCATAATTCCATTGCCACCAGTCTGAAGAGTTATCATTTGGCAGAAGGGGTCCATGAATTTGTGCTGTTTGTGCCATATTCTGATTATGCCATCTGCATGATGGAGCAGGAAATGAGATTCATCAAACCATGCTACTTTTTTCAAGTCCTGAAGTGACCAATTTTATCGTTCCTGGGCGTACTACAGGTGCCTTTTCCTATTTTTCTGTGATACCAGAAGGCACTCTTGATGCTCTCCTGCTGCTAAAGCTCATCTTTCGCAAAGTGTGTTTTGTTGTGCATTGGGATATGCTTTGTGATGCATCTGCATTGAATTCAGCTGTAATTTGTTGTGTTTTTGCCCTTCTGTTGCTGTGGGCTATGCCTGCTAATTGCCTTTTGCCTCTCTCATTCATAGTCTTTTTTGACCAGAATTGTCCTTATTGCTTGAAGTTTTTTTTTCTCAACTGCCAGCCACTCTCTAAACACCTGAGATACTGTTGGACAAAAAACTCCTAAAAGAGTCATCATTTCAGAGATACTGACTGATGGTTATCCCTTGTTCAAAGTCACTTTAATCTTTCATCTTACCCATTTTGACATTAACTTCCATGATAACTACGTTGTTCGAAGCTGAGCATACCTTATATAAGCAACTCTGCATTGTTACTTCACTCTACATCACTGTCAGACTGATTTACTTTCAAATAAGAGGTTTCTCTAATTTTTTGGCCACTCAGTGTATATTTTCTTACTTTGTTAATGTTTTAAGATTGATCTTATAAATAACTTGGAAAGCATGTAGTAGAGTCAAAAATAAATTGAACTTTTAATAAAACTTTTATTATGTTAATAGGACAAATATTTACAGATATTTTCAAAATAAGCATCATCTGTAGCTACACACTTTTGCCAATATTTGTATCATTTCTTAAAACAGTCTCACAGCTAATTCTGCATTACTTCCTTCAGTTCAATTATTATAGCTCTTTTTATCTCTTCTGATATGAATCTGTGACACTTTAATACAGCTTTCATTTTGTGAAGATGAAAGTCTATGGAAGAGAGATCTAGTAAGTAAGGAGACTGTGGAAATCTGATGTTTTTTTCAGCTGTTTACTTATTAGGAGAGAGTAATGTGCTGGGATATTGTGATGGAGAATCCAGCTGTTTGCTTGCCAGAGAAGAAACTATTTTTATATTAATGCAAGGCTTTTGTTAAGAGATCTATTGTCAGGAACAAACTTGTAATGCATCAGGTCTTTCACATTAAAAAAAATTACAAGCATTATCTTTTTCTTGATCTGTAAAGAACATTTTTTTTACAGATTGATAAAGATTTTTATGTTGAGAAGTCTTTGCTCTACAGATTATACAAGAAATACTAAGCTTCATTGATGATAATCACTCTGTTTAGGATATCTGGGTCTTTATCAACTGTATTTATTAGTTCTGTCCCAATGGAGTGACATTCTTCACATTGCTTAGCTGTCAATTCCCTCAAAACAATATAACAGATAGAATACATTTTCAAGTTATCATGAAGTATGTACAAAACCATGGAAAATTCCTAAAATGTCAACCAGATTGTCTAGTAATTGTCTATAGCAGGAATGGGCAACCCGCGGCCTGCAGTAATATTTTTTGCAGCTCATGTCACATAAAATATGAATAAATATATCAATTTTCCAGCTTAAGGAAGTATGCGGCAAAAATTCAAATGTTATTTTTTACAACTTATGTATGTGAATAGTTTTTTCACAATGAATTTAGTAAAAATTAAAACAAGAAACCGGCTAACAGACGTATCAAAACTAATTTAAAGCTAGCAGAGACTAATATTTAACCAAATATTTCCGATATATTGTGTTTACATCAGTTCCAGAAGCTAAATTAAGTATACCTATGCTATATATCATGTGTGGCCAAACTTTTATCCCTTAGGGGCTACTTTTTTTGGTAAAATATAGTCTGTGGGCGACTATGAATATGGGCAAACAATTTTAGGATTTTTATATGTGCATGCATTAACATTCATTTGCATTGTTCATCGGGATAAATACAAACAGTATGGGTACATTGCACAGATAGTCTATTATTGTAAGAATAAATTATAGAATTAAGATTTTTAAACATTAATATAAGTGAAAGCATATTGTTCAACTTTAGCTTCGCGGGCTGCTTTCAAAACCTTTGCGGTAGACCGGTCGACCGCAGTCTACGTATTGGCCATCCCTGCTATATATGAATAAATAATTGTGATTTACTAACATTCCCATCCTCTTTTCTCTTGTATGCAGCCTGCGTCAGTGTAAAAGTTTTGAAATGTGGCCCTTACATAGATATAGGTTGCCCATACCTGGTCTATAGTATCTTTTAATCTCTCAACAAACTGAAGTTGAAAGCATATTGAGATATTGCAATATAAATGACTAAATTTTGATTTGGATGCTATTTGAGTAAGATTTGTATATCTCATCATTTAATAGTAATAAAGCATTAATCTTAATAGATATTGGATCACCATATATTTATCCTTTCAATGTTGATTATCTCATAAACATCAAATTTCTCTTAATGCTTCAATTTAGCTTTCTTGTATAGTAAATGATACAAATTATTTTTTTTTGTGAGAAGAAAACATCACACAAGAATTTTTGAATGAAATTCAGTAATTCTTATACTGCATATGTAGAAGCTATTAGAGAGGTTGTGGCTGAAGTTTTCATCTCTAAAATGTGAATGTTGAGTGCTTCCATCCTGTAAGCTTAAAGTTTGACAATGGCATTTGGAACATTGAGCAAGATTCCAATGACATTCCAAATGCCATTGTCAAACTTCTAGGCTTACAGGATGGTGTCACTCAATGTTTGATGTTCACGTTTTAGAGATAAAAACTTTGGCCACAACCCAACCTCTCTGTTATACGTTGTGATAATAAAATTTTATTTTATTTGGATACTTTTAGTGGCCTGGAAAATAACTTGTTTTAGATTTTTACTGAATATTAGGATTGGACTGAATGTTAGCATTCAGTTATGGAGTGGATTATTTTTTAAAGTATAATTTCTTGAATTGATAAGTGAGTAGTCAGTTTACTGTTGTTTTTGAACTCTGTCATATGGGCACTAAGGATGCATTTTTCCCAGATTCATTGTGAATTTGGAAACCATTTATCGCACCAACAATGAGGGCAGCCAGGAGATGAAGGACAAGGCCCAATGTATCCAGGATAGAACATTTATGAAAATTTTCATAGGTTCATTACCCAGATTTGAATCTGGGTCCTCCAGAGTAGTAGGCTGATACATTTACTGCTTTGGCCATCAGGTTATCAGTTATAGATTATTGATATTGTACAGTACATTGTAAAATCATGCTGATTAAATTGAAGAATATCTTTTGCCTTATACAAGCCTAATCTTACATAACAAACTGTTACTTTACATTGATATGAGACACTTTTGAATAATTAATTTTATTTTCTGTACTTCTTTCATTAATGTCTTGTATTGAGAACATTTGAAACTGGTTTATCTGGCTTTTTTTTTACCTGAATATGCCTTTTTTTTTTTTTAAAGACAGAAAAAATACTATATAATTAAAGTTGTTTTATTTATTCATTTCCTAAGGATTGTTTTTTATTTTATCAGTCCCTTTTGATTATTTTTTTCATTCAGTTGTATGTAATTTCAGATAAGGGGTGCTCAGAAGTAAGAGTCACTTAAGAAAGCAATATATTAATATAGTTGTCTGAAGCAAATTATGATAAAATTTGTAAGCATGCTTGTCAGACATGATATATACCATATTTTTGCAGATTTTTGATATTTTCTTTCACAGAATGACAGGCATGCTGGTCATTCTGTGAAAGAAAATATCAAAAATGGTATGTACCTACAGACAAAATCACTTTAGATAGGAGAGATGTCAACATGCAGAGTAAAAGAGGTGAGGCTCTTGCTCTGTGTACATGCCACTTCTATGAAAACATTTTGGGAAGAGATCAAAAAAAGGCTAGGCAACATTTTATGCTTAAAAATATCTGACAAACAACTATCAATAAGATATTAGACAGGTTTGAGGAATGTAAAACTGTAGAGTATTGAGAACATACTGGTTAGCCTGCAACAGGAACTGCTAAAGTTATGTAAGCAGTGGAATAAACATTGAAACAAGACCCTGTGACATCATTGAGATCAGTGGCTGCAAAACTTCATCTTGCAGTAAGTATCCTATGGCATAAAAGTGTAAAAAAGTCAAGTTAGGCATCACTTCTCACAGAAAGGAACCAACTCCAAAGTACAATCAGGAGCAGGAATGTATAGCAAAAACTAATTGCCAAAAACATTTTAATGTTCACCTGCATGCCAAAGAGAAAGTATTGCTGCTAGATGATGAGCTATCCTGTCCTGAAGACCCAAAACAAGTACCTGGAATAAAATTTTACCATTCCACTAACAAGTCAGATGAATCACAGTCAGGTTTATAGGAAAAACCAAATTTCCAAAACATTACTTAATATGGCAGGAAATTGATGAATGCAGATTCATGTCCAAAATTTCATTTTTTTGTGGATCTATCAACACTGGTATATACCTTAAAGAGTGTAGTAAAAAGCACTTGATTTCCTTTATCCAAAAACACAGTATGGAAGATGTTAGGTTATGATCAGATCTAGTAATGGCTTATTATACCCACAAAGTTACTGACTACCTTCAAAGTATTGGGTTTGAGTTTGTGGAAAATGAAAATAATGCCTGTAATGTACTCCAAGCCTGTCTTATTGAAAGATTTTGGACACTATGTAAACAGCAATATGCCGCTTATCCTTATGGTACAAAGTACAGTGGAACCTCGCTTAACGAGCATAATTTGTTTCAGAATCTTGCTTGTAATGCAAAACATTTATTAAGCGAAACAATTTTTCTCATATAAATTTATGTAAAATACAATAATGCATTCTATGTAGGAAAAAATACTCAAATATTTTATGTATAATATTTATTCAAAGAAAATCATACAATATACATTGTTAAGGAGCATGAATCATCATCATCTTTTNCAATCATAGGCCATTATATAATAAACACATGTAGCATAGGCACAATATGCCAAATTCTTGGGCTGTGTAAAGGCTATAATTAAATATTAGAAATTAATTAATTTGACTAGAAGTAGGCAGTTATGCTGCTATCTCGTATTAAATTTAATAATGTCTAAATTAAAATCATTTATTTATAATTATTAAATTTAATACGAGATAGCAGCATAACTGCCTATTTCTAGTCAAATTAATTAATTTCTAATATTTAATTATAGCCTTTACACAGCCCAAGAATTTGGCATATTGTGCCTATGCTACATGTGTTTATTATATAATGGCCTATGATTGTCAATATTTATACGTAATATGTGTGAAGACAAGTTTGGAAAAATGTGTGATCACAAGAGACACTAAGATGCTAGTGAATGAGTGCTAAACACAGACTAATGGAGCATGCACACAATCTGGAATTTCCCCTTTCCTTGTCACTCGTGCAAAATATTGCTCGTTAAATGAGTCAATTTTTTTACAATTTGCTTTGCTCATTAAGCGAGATTCCACTGTACTTAATTCATTCAAACAAATTTGGAGAAATATTGCTCAAAAAGTTGAGAAGAAGTCTGACGTGGAGTTTGAGCAAAATTAAGATGTATAGGACCTTGTGGTTTCTGTGGACTGTTACTTCATAAAAAGTTTATCTGAACTGTCTAAGATAACCCATGAACAAAATTGATATTTCTGCCTTCATTTGTTCTGGTAAAACAGTATCAAAAGTGTCTCTTTTATATCTAAACACTCCTTAACTTCTCAGATTATGAAAGAAAGAAAAATGAGTTAAGATCCCTACAATCCAGCACAATCCAGCAGATTTATACCAGATAGACATCTTTAGCTTTGTTTATTAATGAGATAATTGCCTTAATGCCACTAGCAATTTTTTTCTAGATGGAGTAAATTACTAGGCTCTACAGCCCCCGACTAGAAACTTATTGACCATTCCTTATAGATGCAAATAATAATGCTACTTTTCCATTAATAGTGCAGATTAGAATTAATTATTCTCCAAATATTATGCTCTTGTTTTGATAAATGCAATTTTCAGTACAATCTGCTCATTAGATATTTTTATAGAAAATACCGAATATGGTAATTTTATCTATCTAATGTTAACTATAATATCAGATATTTGATTGAATCAAGAATTCAAAGATTCTTGATTCAATCACTAATGAAATAGAAAAAAATTTTTGTAAAGTATTCTGATATATATTTATGAAATTTTTAGAAACAATGTTATAAAAATTGAAATTTTAAATGTTTACAAAATGTTTTTATTTTATTAGGTAGCAGATGGTGCTTTACGATGTTTTGCATCATTAGCTGATCGTTTTACTAGACGTGGTATTGATCCAGCTCCTCTTGCAGAACATGGTTTAACAAATCAGTTATTATCACGTTTGTCTAGTGTAGCATCAACTAATCTTAATATATCAGTAACAAGTACTCCAGTTCCTGGAACAACAGCCACTCCAGAAATTAATACATCACCTAGTATTTCTACAACAATTAGCTTATTGTCAACATTATGTCGAGGCTCTCCAAGTATAACTCATGTAAGTTTATAAATGTAAATTATTCAGTTAATGCAATTATGTTGCTTAATAGGAATGTAAAAAAGTAATATATATATATATATTACTTTATATATATTATTATGTATATATAACTTATATATATAGTAATATATTACTGTATATATTACTTATATATATAAGTAATTTAATATAATAATATATATATATAATCACTTTAATTTGTAATGGTTGATTTTTCCCACACAACTCCAGTTGGATGACTCAAGACATTATTTTAACAATTTTAACACAGTCCGAAATACATATGTACAATCTGTTGTGACTTCACAGCCCCTCTTCAGTGATGTTTTAGAGAGAAAATAATTTAAAACTCTATTACACATTTGAGCTTTCCCATAAATGCATATAAAAAGATTTTTTTATGATTATATCCAGTTTTATGTATCTACTGTTTTTTAACTTGTTGTAAACCGACTTGTAGTCATCATCATTTTTACAAGTTAAAAAACAGTAGGTACATAAAACTGGATGCAATTGTAAAAAAATCTTTTTGTGTGTATTTATGGGAAAGCTCAAATGTGTAATGGAGTTTTTAATTATTTTCTCTCTAAAACATCACTGAAGAGGGGCTGTGAAGTCACAACAGCCTGAAATGCTTATGTGCAGTTTGTGTTAATATTGTTATAATAAAGTCTTTAGTCGTCCAACTGGAGTTGCTGTGGGAAAATCAATCATTACAGATTAGTGATTTTATACACATCAATATTATACGACATCCATGTTATGAAGTTATATATATATAAATAATAGCTAACGTTGTCAAGAGTTATTATTTTATCAAAAATTAAGTGTTAAGTGTTGTCAAATTAAAACAGAATTTTGAAATTTGGAAAACAAAAATGTGTGTCTAAATTTATACAGATTTTTAAACAAACTATTAAATTATTTTATCATACAATATTTAATTAATATACACACATACATACATACATACATACATACATACATACATACATACATACATACATACATAATTTTAAAAAAAATTTCATATTTCATTTTCTTAAATAAATTTCTTTTTTGTTTTTTAAGGATTTATTAAGATCAAAATTACCTGAAGCTATTGAAGCCACTCTCCAAGGAGATGAAAGGTGAATAAAATAATTTAATATAGATGTAATTTATTAGATTTTTCTCATTTTATCATAATGTAATCCACATTTAGTAAGAATAAAAATGTAGTTTTATGCAGTATTTCCTAAGATTGTATTAGTTTTTGTCCATAGTTGTAATTTGAACAAGATTACTCTGCTGTATCAAATGTTAATATGTTTAATTAATAGTTTAGTTAAAAGTATTTAGAATGTAAAAATTTATTGGATTTAAAGTTTTTGGTAAATTAATCCCTTAATTGAAAACTTGTCTGTACTGTCATGTTAAAAGTTAAAAAAAAGAAACTCTATGTTAAATTTCAACAATATTTAATTGGAAAAACATGCTTTTGACCTTTTTGAATATTAAATATTGCTGAAATTAATGTATAGTTTCTTCTTGTTTATTATGCCAGTTTAAGTTTTTGTAACCTAAAATTAATACAATAAACAGATCTTTCATTTCTTTTGGTATTATTTCTGATTATTTTTTAAGCTTAATGTTTATTAATTAACTAGCTGTTACCCGCGACTTCACCTGTGCAGATTTTGCAAGCAAACACCATTTATATTTCAACAGCCATAGTAATTGTTATATAACACCTACTGCTGAGAATGATGAGAATTGCTGAGAATCAAACAAACTGTTTTCAATTTGATCAATTTTCTGGAATGTTTACAATCGTTCTATAATCGAACCAATATGCAATAACAAATTCAAATTTAAAACGGTTTGAACATTTGGTTAAAAAATCAAAATATATAAAAATATTTATAACAATGTCTGAAATGTTATCAATTTAATACACCTAAGTATTCAATGAAGACTAAATGTAGTTGAAAACAAAAAATTGCATCTAAAATAGTACAGTAGAAGCCATTCTTCAGATTAAGCCTTAATCCTCTCCCTCTTTCTTGCAGGGGGATTTTCAAAAATTCCTTCTAAGTGTACATTCTCATGGCATAACCTAACTGTGTACCAAATTTCACCTCTTTAGGTTCAGCTGTTTGCTCTGGGCAATGATGAGTCAGTCAGTCAGGACAAGTAATTTTATATATTTAGATGAATGTATCATGCTTGAAATGTAAATCGTTAATTTTTCTAAACTAAAATAAACTTTAGAAAGTATTCAAAAGAATCTGAATTGGGAGAAATTTTGTTATTGTTCCATCACTAGTTAAAACAGCTTTAAAACACTTAACACTTTAAAACATCTTAAATGTTAGTTTTTAAGTGGTGGGACAATGCTTTAACCACTTCAAAAACATTAATTTTTTTTAGAGAAATGTGTATAGATAGTTGTCACTAAATATAAATTCTTGTAGTATTTTAGCAAAAAACTAGCAACAGCTTAAACTCTGTTTAACTATAACTTTTTAATTTTTAGTACCAATTTTACAAGTAGTTAAATTTTTATTTTTTGCAGATGTGTTCTAGATTCTATGAGATTAGTTGATCTTCTCTTAGTTCTGCTTTTTGAAGGAAGAAAAGCATTACCAAAATCTGGTGTTACTTCAGTTCCAACAACACGTTTGCCTTCTTTAAGAAGAGTGGATAGTGCAGGAGAACGAACACATAGGCAGCTAATTGACTGTATTAGGAGCAAAGATACAGATGCTTTGATAGATGCTATAGATTCTGGAGGTAATAATTTTCATAATGATAAATTCAAAAATATAATAATAATAATAATATATTAAATTTGGATGAATATAATTATCAATATGCAGAAATAGATTTGATTTTTTTTTCCTCTACAAAAATAATTTAGATTTATTTTAAATTGTTTTTTCAAGTCAGCTAAGAATAAAATAATGCTCATGACTCTCAGTGACATTCTGCTGACTATAGCTTTGGTTAAATAAAATATAATAATAGTTGGACTTCTAACACTCAGACACATGTGCATATGAATATATTTGTGTGTGTTACATCAATTATGGTGGAACTATTCATCCTCTGTAACTGATGTAACATTTAGTACAAGATTTAAATGTTATGAATCGAACAGAACATTTAATAACCTTGATGATGACTTTTGTGTGTTTAAATACTTCCTAACAGACATTTCATTAAGAATATGGGTAGGTTACTTTCTAGCTTATTTACAGTGTTGATATAATCATTTAAAACTGTATAACTGATATAACATAAAATTAGACATGAAACTTCTTTCTTTAACTAATGAACCAAGTTTTAGAGTAACAAATTGAAAACAAGAGTTTTTTGTATCACTCAATAGAATATTTATTCCTAAATCAGATTCAGTAATAAAAAATGTTGTTTTTCTGTAAGAATCATAACATAGTAGTGAATAAAAATTTTACATTTTAAAAATTGAAAACTTGCCATTACATAATTCAGACCAGCTTCCTGATTAGAATCAGATAAGAATTTGATCGAGTGTCATCAACAAACTTGTGATAGAAAATTTATTCAAAATACAGTCATACCCCGGACTTACGTGATAGGTGGGACCAAGTGATAACCGCGTAATTCGAATTCGCGTAAGTTGGGGTATAATTTTGTATATAAATACATACAAATTATTTTTAACTGGGACCGGAGACTAAAGAAAACAATAATTTAGAAAAAAATGTTTAATAAAATCTTAGATAATACATACGTATAATAAATTATATTATTATACAATTTTTCACATTAACTTGATTATCACACCATAATTTTAACATTGTTTCCATCTCAGCGATAATACTGTGACGTTTACGAATGATGCTTGAATTTAAAGATTGAGCATTTTTTACAGCTTTGAGAATTTTTTTTATCTTTTATAATTGTTCTGACCGTCGATTCCGGTAGATCAAACTTCTTTGCCAATTCACAAATTTTCATTTTTGTATCGAAGTCTTTAATAATGTTAACTTTACATTCCAAAGATAAAGTTTTTCTTTTCTTGTTTGATGCAGAAGAATCAGTTCTACTTCGTTTGGATGACATAGTAGAGTGTTAAGATTAATCGTATTCGTTATTGTAAACCGCGCTTAAGTTATGTGCCATTTGTTTATTTCTTTTGTATGTCCGACGATCAAAAGACCGCTTGGGATCGAGTCTGTTTATAATTTGAAAGGTAATCTTGTCAGTTGTATATACAAAAGGTAAATTGTTTGCAAAATGAGTCTTTGTTTATTATCTGATAAATGTATACTTTTTTCGTCAATTGTTCATGATTGCCGATGCCTTTGTGTGAAATCCAAGTAGGATGTATGTAAGCTAATAAATGTTCTCGTTAATCTTATCTCGCCTTTTGGTTTGTTCACGGTTACAAGAAATCACCACATAGAGTCTCTCAAGTCTCCGTAGATATAACAAACAGAAATAAATTTCACAAAATAAATTGTGGCTATGCGTTGATTCCGCGCGACACGTTTGAACATGTAAGCTGGACAATAGTGTGGGGGGGAGTGAATAATCAAGAGTTGCGTGGCGCTCAAACAAAAGATGAATCGATGAGATTTGAAAATCGCGTAACTCCGGGTTCGCGTAAGTTGGGGTATGACTGTACCTGAAATGTAACTTTTAATACAATTAATATTATTCAATACAACTTCAGGCAAATATGGATCAAATCAATAACTTTACAGAAAATTAATGCTTTTTTGCTGATTCTGATTAATCAGCAAATGTTCTTTTGATTAGTACAAAACAAACTTAGACTACCCATTTGTTATTTGGAAAGTTGGCTTATAAGAATACAGTGGGTGATTGGTTAACGAACATAAATCTTTCCAAGACTTTGTTCATTAACTGATTATTGATTTACGATAGGTTTTTATGGGAATTTGATTAATTTATTCTGGAGACTCCAAAAAATAAAAATACTTTTTTATTATGTTTATTTATATGTAATAGTAAAAATACATATATATGCAGTCTTGCATTTTTATTAGTCTATGTTTTTTCTAGAGTAGGTGTTAAAGAATCTGTCCAATGTCGATTGCTTTTCTCTTTTCTTCAGGATTTTTTGGAAGTAATTACAGTGGTGCCTCGTATAACTTACGCCTCAAATAACGGACTTTCTGTTTGGCCGTTACGTGACTCGAGCAATGGACTGGCTGCAGACAATGGACTTTCCGTTCGGCAGTTATGGAGATGAACAACGGTCTTTCTGCGAACAAGTGCGAATGATTTTTCCACTCTTTTGCCGTTGCCAATGACAATCTGCTAATTTTATAATATATTAGTATTATTAGAATTTATTATTAGTATATCTGAAGTACATAGCTCCTGTTGGGATTCGACTTGCTCCCTTGTTTATTACATACATCACCTCAGTGCAGGGTATTTACATTTATTCAAGTGTTGTGCAAATCATGGCTTCTAAAAAAAACAGAAAGGTGATTTCAATTGAAACAAAGCAAGAAATCATCAGGAGTGAAAGTTGACAAAAACTTCCTTGTCAAATGGGGAGAGGTTAAGGAGTTTACCAACACTCATTATCCAAATAGAGCTGAGGCCAACAGGATCAATGATCTCTACAATGACACCCTTGATTTCCGACAGGTGTTGAAGAAGAGAGAGAAACAGACCACCTTGGACATGTTTTTCAAGAAGCAAGCTGCCAAAAAACAAAGCATGGAACAAGAGGAGATGACCCTGCAAGCTCCGATAGCCTCTCCTGAATCTGACTCCGATTAAAAAACAATAAAAAGAGACCTGCTGAAATGTGTACAAAGTCTGTATCTGTATGAATGTATAAAGAAAGTGTTCCTCCATCTCCTCCTTCTCACAACATCTGACTACCTGGCATAATTGGTGACTGCTCCATTTTCATTTTTTTATGGTACAGTACAGTTATTTTATGCAGCGGAACAAATTATATGTTTTAACATGTATTTCTATGGGAAAATGTGTTTCATATAATGGACTTTTCACTTAACGGACGTGCACCTGGAATGGATTAAGTACATTATACAAGGCACCACTGTAATAGTATTGTAATTGTAGAGATACCTTACCCCATTAACCTTTATTCTGGTATAGATACCACTTGGATGATAGTTGTTCTGACATTCTCCCACTTCTTTAAAAGATCTTTAGTAGCAGATGTCGAAATTGGTCCTCTCTCATCTTCCTCTTTTTCAAAAGAAAACACATCTCACTGAGTTTCTTGGTATTATTCATTTGAGAGTTCTTGAGTTCTTCTGTCATCAGATCTGTTTCAGGTTTCATTGTGAGCTCTAAAATACTGTTTATTTCTCAGGTGTGATTTTCATTACTCCATTAGTTGCTTAAGACTTCTTAATATATCTTTCATGGCTAAGATTGTGCCTACTGTAGACCTGTTCAAGTTATACTACCTAGCAACATCAGACATCTTGTGCCCACTTTATACCTTGGCTATTATCTCTTACTTGGCTTCTATGGTGAGCATAGTTCTTGACACCCCTCTTTTTTAGGCTCCATAATATTATTAGTTTCTTTCTTAAATAAAAAGTTCAGAAAAGCACTTACAAAAATTCAGAGAACAGAAATGAACTAACCCACAAAAAATTATTTAAATGCAAGACCTGGATGAAATTTGGTATTAAAACGTTAACGAATATCTGATGGGACAGTTAAACTTTCATCTTTCGTAAGTAAACCCAGACGCAAAACTTAAAAAGTACCTGTCTGACACTCTTGCAAAGACTATAAAAAATTATTTGACGGAAAGGTAAACAAAAAGCTGGAATTACAAGGAATAGTTTCAAAATTTCAAGGAATACTATCTGATTGGTATCGGATTGAGAGTTGATGTTGATGTCTCTCATGCTCCGAAAGGTTTTGAATTGTTACCTGAAGACAAGGGAAAATCAATTGGTATTTGTTACTTTCCATCGCTTCTTTTTATGTTTGTTCTGGAAAGTATTCGTTGTCTGATGATAAAAATCTTTTGCGAAAATGTTCATTATCCGATTTGTTCACTATCTGAACTGTTTGTTAACCAATAACTTACTGTATTGTCAAAAATATTGAGGTATAACAAATGTTGCTTGTTAATAGTAAATATTTTAATAATGTATTTTTTAAAATTCATTTTCCTAATATTTTTTACAAAAATTATTTTTTATATAATTAAGGATTTGATATTTATTTATAACTGATGTAATGATGTTAGTTTATAATATGAATTAACAAGAATGCAAAGTGTTTTTAGTATTTATACAGGGATTGAAAAATTTGATAGTTTGGTGATCAGAAAATTTTAATTGGCTATCAAAGATTTACAAGTTGTAATCAATGGACTATGGGTGCTGGTCCAAAGCTATTTTCCAGGTTACCTACCTGTTCATTCCACTTAAAGAATTAGTTGTATAGTGTGCAAAAAATTGTAATCGAGTAAAATTTATCTAAAAGTTATTAGTAAATATTTATAATTAAATTTGTCTTATTTTTTTAAGCCAATGAACTTCTAAATGACAGTTAAAATTATTAATTTTGAAAAGATTAGATCAAAATTATGAAATAAAATTTTTAAAGAAAGGTGTTTTGAAGGGAGATTGAGTGATTTGTATTTTAATAATCCTAAACCATCTTGCATACCTTAGTTTTATTAAAAACAGTGAAAAGGTCAGGAATATCATCAGCCTGTCTGATTAGGAAGCATGAATAGTTATTGAAGAACATACTTCATAACTGACTGAAATTGTTGTAACCAATCTTCTAGCTGAATAATAAGTTTAAACACCAGTGTGTGATGTAGCAAGAGAGATTTTTATTTATAGTTATGTTATTTTCAATTTTGTTTTGGTTATTTCAAGTTTTGGCAGTTGATTGTAGAGAGTAACTATGCAAAATTTGTTCAGATTGCTCAAAAGGTTTGGGAGTTTCAAGGTAGAGGGATGAAATTGGAGATGAGGCAAGGGTCTGAGTTTCTTGACAGCCCATGTTTCCAGTAGGGTACCAGAGAGTAACTATGTGAAATTTAGTTCAGATTGGTGAAAGGATTTGGGAGTTTGTAGAGGAGATAAATTCATCGGGAATGAGTGAGGGGTCAGAGTTTAAGGTAGTTTATGTACATCAGAAAGTAATAAGCTTTCCAATGGGGAAGGAATTAAAAAAATCAGTTTAGTATATTCTGAAATTACGTTGAGGAAACAAGCAGAGAAATTAACATTCTCTCATTACATACATACATTTATGACATGGATGTATTTTGTGACAATTGTGACTTTCTTTTAGACATTTTATCATTGATAAGGCTCATTTGCACAAGTGTATACCTGAAAAGTAACCAAAATAACTCAATTTATGTAGGTAGATATTGCATAATATAAGACTAATTCTTATTTTTAAATAATGGTATTTTAGGATTAATACTAAAACAATGAACACACAAAAAATACTATAGCCTATGTACAAAAGCTTAGTTTTATCTAAGGGAAGTAAATTTGCTCTTTATAATTGTATCTGATAACATAAGATACAATTATGTTATCTGATAACATAAGATACAATTATGTTATCTGATAACATAAGATACAGTTGTTATCAGATACTCAATAGAATATAAAACAATTACCCAATATAAATATAATAATATAAAACACCCAATATAAATATACTAATATAAAACAAAGCATATACACAACTACCCAAACTACTCAAAACTGAATAGATAAGAAAATAAGTTTAAAAAGCTCCACCAGATGATGAAGGGGATTGACCTTGAATGTAGCAGACAAGTGATGATGCTAGATAAATGCCATGGTAAAAACATTTTTCTTGTGCATTTTCCTTTTTTTTTAATTTAAAAATAGTATATAGTCCATGTTTATCTGGAAGAATAGGCTTTCCATTAGCAAAAGAATTTTAAAAATCAGTTTAGTAGATTTTGAGATTACCTCCAACAAATAAACAAACATTTGCACTTTATGTTATTATATAGATCAGGGCTTCTTAAACTTTTTTTATTCACGACCCCATTTATGATTGTGATATTTTTCGCGACCCCCAAAAAAAATATAAAATAAAGATATATACAAATTTGCAAAACCAATAATGGTGTACTACCACAGTTCACTCTTGTGTTACAATGGAACAGAGACAACTGAATACACTGAAAAGCNCTTAACTTTCGTACGTCGTTTCGCGTATTGGCGTTACGTAAGCGCTATTATTTATAAATTAGTCCTTAATTTTAAAAACTGGCGATAATGGCTAATATAAAAACAAAATTGCCCCCTTCTCGCCCGGTTGGCTGGAAAATTCTTTTTCTTTCTCGTTAATATACTAGCGGATCGGCCCGACAAAAAAGTAACCAGGGCGAAAATTACGATTATTACATTATAGCCCATCTTACCCGTTTTTACCGGGTGCGAGAATTAGACTCAAAGTAATTAGAAAACCGCATTTAAAATAGTAAGAAAAATGCCAATTTCGGAAAGTCCGTTGTCGGCCCTGGCCCTAACCCCCTACTAAATTTCAATTTTCGACTCCGCGCTTATTATTATTATCGTTATCCACCCCTCCGGATTATATTACGAGATCGGTATAGAGAAGTAAATAAAACCAGTTAAATAGCGATATTCGCTCGTCTGTACTTATAGTTGGAAATTTATTGCGCGACAATATAAAACGTTTTTATATTTCGGAGGGTAAGAATCGATCCTTACGCGCCACCCATAAAACCAAGTGCCGTAGATGCGGGTTGGCAGCCGAGTGGGGTTTTTCGGGTTTTCTTCTCCGGTCTAACGTCCAAACGGCGGCGGGTTTCCCGGAGAAGAAACCGCGTCTTAGCATAAATGTCTGGCTAATAACCGATAACGAATTTATTTTCGTAGGCGACGGACGAACGACGCCGTTTCGAAAGTCGCCTACGTCTTATAGTTAATGGCTCTATTGTTACGCGGTTTCTTCCGTTATAAAACGCGTGTCCGTCGTTCCGTTAAGTTTATTCGCCTAACGAAATTTTAACCCGGCGCCATTTACGCGCTTTCAAACGGCAAGAAAATTAATTTGTTGGCCGTTCTCGTTCTACCAACGAATTTCCCCACCTTTATTACCCCCTAGCGGAACCAATGCGGATTATTTACCGTAAATAATCCGCATTGTCAAATCTATATATATAAATATTTATATATATACATATATATATTTTTGAAAAGTGCTTATTTATAGATCACTTTGTAGATCTTGTTATTTTTCCAGGTATAGAAGTTAATTTTATGGATGATGTTGGACAGACTCTACTTAATTGGGCATCTGCATTTGGGACACAAGAGATGGTTGAATTTCTATGTGATAGAGGTGCTGATGTAAATAAAGGACAACGATCATCTTCACTTCATTATGCTGCTTGCTTTGGTCGACCTGGAGTTGCCAAGGTAACTCACTCAAATTATTTAATAATAATTTGATTGTGTAAATTAATAATTATTATTATACAACTGCAAAAAATAAGATGGATAATATATTATGTTTAGAATTAGTTTTGACAGTAGTTTTAATTTTGCATCATTAAATAATTCTAAAGTTAACTCAGTGTTGAATGCAAGACTTCTTGCGCAACAGTTCTGACTTTATTCTTTAACCTATTAATGTTTCAATATCTGTTAAGGTGTTTGATATCAATTTCTTCACATATTTTCACAATAAAAAGTCTAAAGGGGGTTATATCTGGAGTGGATGGAAACCAAATTGGTCAATCTCTCCCCATCCATTTGGTTAGAAAAAATTTCATTCAGATGTTCTACTATAGCAACAGTAGTGTCCTTTCTTTTAGCATCTGTATCGTCACAATCTTCTTTCCTGTCAATATCTTACTATTTGGAAAATAATAAGTTCATTCATTTCAAATTACTTTACCATATTCTGACATTTCATCTTATAATTCTTTTCTTGTAATTTCATAATTAACTCGTAAAACTTGAACTTTTCTTATATCACCTCTTATTGATTTTATATTTATTAATAACTCTTTCCAAGTCCAACTTCCTTCCAAAATCCTCCATTTAACTTTTATTACATTTAACATTAAATTCTTTTAGTAATGCAGAAAAGTTTTGCTAATGATTAATGGAAACTGTGTTGATCTGTTTTTCTTAAATACATAATACTTTTTATAATCAGTCCTTTTTTTTCAGACACTCTGTATTTCCCATCTTTGAAATATATCATGTTAGATTCTTTTGTTGCAGATTACTCTACTAGAATTACTTTCTTTGTCATTTGAGAAACATTTTTCAACCTTTATAAATATTTTTGTAAAATATAATGGAACAAGTCTATACAGAAATACATAAATTAAAAAAAATTGGATTTTATTAAGAGAGGATCAAAAAAAGATGTTGACACTGACACAAAATCATGTATTCAATGTATTAATATATAGTCACCAACTAACAGAGGCAACTAACAGAGGCAAATCTGTTTGATGTTTTCTTACTTAAGATAAAGCAAACATTACTGGATACATCAGCTAATAATGAAATAAATCAGAAATAATTGCGAAAATAATTTACAAGAAAAATGTCTTGAATTGAATTAAAATGTAGTATGTATAGATAGTAGACAAAATTAAACTAGTTACCAGGTAGCCAGATATTGGTTCATTTAAATTTTGTTGAAGCATATATGGCATTAGTTTTTTTCTGGTATTAAATAATTTAATATATTTAACTATTAAGTATATTATAAATGTTAACAAGTTGTGATAACATTTCAATCAATTAGTTATTATCAGTTGTATATTTCAGAAATAATTATATTATAATACTCTTGACAGAATTCATTTTGTTTTCACATGATGATAAATATCTTATAATTAAAATGTAGGTATTATTAAGGCATGGAGCCAATCCTGATTTAAGAGATGAAGATGGAAAAACACCTTTGGATAAAGCTAGAGAAAGAAATGATGAAGGCCACAGAGAAGTAGCAGCTATTTTACAATCACCAGGTATATTTTGAGATAAATCTTTTTATTATGAAATAGCATTTTATTTGAGATTAATAACTAAAAAACAGGCAAATATGAGTTATGTAAATTTATTAATTCCTTTTTTTGATATATATAATTAATTAAATCCTTGAGAATAATGTAATAATTCAGTTGGCAATATGAATAATGTTGCATTCATATTATCAACAAAAAAAATTTTGTTGATAATATGAATTCAACATTATTCATATTGCCAACTGAATTATTACATTATTCTCAAGGATTTAATTATTATTATGATTACTTGGAATAGTGTAATTTTTTTATTAAATATTGATGGTCTCTTGTAATTTGTAATATAAATAAAATGATACTGCTATAAATCAATTAAATAAAGATGTACCATTTTCATTTTACTAATACATCAATTAGTTATAATCAGTTCTACCTACTAGTAAATAATCAGTGCACAACTTGATATTTTATATGGTTAAAGATATGATTTTTGTTAATATTGTGCTGTTAGTTTCAAGAAGTCTGTTTTGTTATGAATTTTAATTTGAATGTGTTGTTAATGCATCATATTTAATAATAATTCAGAAAAAGTAATGATGTTTAATTAAAAATTGTCTTGTTATAAATTTTATAATAAGAAACCATTATAAGCACAACTTCATAATAGACAGATGTTGTATTGAAATGCAAAGAAAAGCAGATATCACATTCTGTTGCCATAAAATTTAGCAGCATAAACTACGAAGAATATTTATATAGAAAATATATTTTTTACCAAGAATATTCTTTGAATTAAAGGATTTACTCTTTAAGGTTCAAGGCTCAAAATTCTTCCTAAAATTATTGCATTCTAGCACACAAAATAAAGCAATTATGAACAAATTAATAATTATTACTACATAGTTTGGAAAATTCAAATTAAATTATACAAATAATTAAATAGGCCTATTGTATAATTTGCTGCACAAAACTAATCCAATAAATTAACTAAGGTTTCTTATTTCCTGGTCTTTTGCTTGTCCCGGGATTCCAGGATAAAACTGAACTGAATCCCGGAATAGAATTAATTATTTTTAAGGTATACAAAATATCTTGAAATCAAATGATATAATTATTTTTCATTTTTTAAAGTAATTTTAAAGTTCTGTAACATCCAAAATCATATTAATAATGCTGTGTAAGATATATAATAAAAATTTCCTTTGAATTATGTAGAAATTTTCACAAATAGAAAAAAATTTATTAAAGTTTGCTGGAAACTGCATACTACTACTACTACTACTACTACTACTACTACTACTACTACTACTACTACAAAAGAGTTAAAAGGGCCTCACTCATTGGTACAGCCTAGTTTAGGAGAAATTGAAAGAANAATAGTGTTTAATGCATTTAAGAGAAGACAGATATTATGTGTTTTTTCACGTGTAGCCTTTAAGATTTGAGTTCGTTTTCGAGATTGTAGTAGTACTTCTTTTGCTCTCTAGTATTCTTGATTTGTCTACCTCGGCTGCTTTAATAGAAACATCAAGCTTATAGCTTGATAATTTGGCAATTCGTTTGGCTTTAATAATCAGGTTTATGAAGAAAAACTTCATACTTGCAGACTTTGTACTCGTTTGTATCCTTGCCCAATTTGCACAATCTGGTGTCAGGCATTTATTGAAGCTACTGGGCATGGTTAAAACTCAAGACAGCGTAAGCACAATTATTCCAGATATTACAGGTTCCGACAAGTAAAGAATTTTCGGAGTTCTGCCACAAATAAGATTTGTATTGGTTATTGACCATTTGTGACATGCCATAACGAGCAAAAATTTAAAAAATCTAGTAGGTAGGTTTAAAATTAATAAATACAAATATATTCTGACAGTGAATGAGTTAATTATGCTTTCTATTTGCAAAATTCCTCAACCTTAACACAAAATAAGAAAAAAAGTGAATTTTTAAGAAATTTGCGGGATTTCCTGGGTTAAAAAAACAACCGGGATCCAGGAATCGCATTTGAGAAACCCTAAAATTAATGTAAAAATTTTTTAGTTAAAACAAAAAAAGCTTTAATTTAGGCATATGTTGTTGTCATAGGATACCACATATGTCATAAATCTGATGTAAGATGTTGATTAATAAAAATAAAATTGAAGTATTTGTGTGGATACCATGAATGAATTATTTTTAGTATGGAGCACTAATCAACAAACTTCTTGACATCCAAGAAATGTAAAATTTTTTTACAACAATGATGATCGTGCACCAATCAATTTAAGAAATGCACCAATTTTTTTNAGTTGTGATAACATTTCAATCAATTAGTTATTATCAGTTGTATATTTCAGAAATAATTATATTATAATACTCTTGACAGAATTCATTTTGTTTTCACATGATGATAAATATCTTATAATTAAAATGTAGGTATTATTAAGGCATGGAGCCAATCCTGATTTAAGAGATGAAGATGGAAAAACACCTTTGGATAAAGCTAGAGAAAGAAATGATGAAGGCCACAGAGAAGTAGCAGCTATTTTACAATCACCAGGTATATTTTGAGATAAATCTTTTTATTATGAAATAGCATTTTATTTGAGATTAATAACTAAAAAACAGGCAAATATGAGTTATGTAAATTTATTAATTCCTTTTTTTGATATATATAATTAATTAAATCCTTGAGAATAATGTAATAATTCAGTTGGCAATATGAATAATGTTGCATTCATATTATCAACAAAAAAAATTTTGTTGATAATATGAATTCAACATTATTCATATTGCCAACTGAATTATTACATTATTCTCAAGGATTTAATTATTATTATGATTACTTGGAATAGTGTAATTTTTTTATTAAATATTGATGGTCTCTTGTAATTTGTAATATAAATAAAATGATACTGCTATAAATCAATTAAATAAAGATGTACCATTTTCATTTTACTAATACATCAATTAGTTATAATCAGTTCTACCTACTAGTAAATAATCAGTGCACAACTTGATATTTTATATGGTTAAAGATATGATTTTTGTTAATATTGTGCTGTTAGTTTCAAGAAGTCTGTTTTGTTATGAATTTTAATTTGAATGTGTTGTTAATGCATCATATTTAATAATAATTCAGAAAAAGTAATGATGTTTAATTAAAAATTGTCTTGTTATAAATTTTATAATAAGAAACCATTATAAGCACAACTTCATAATAGACAGATGTTGTATTGAAATGCAAAGAAAAGCAGATATCACATTCTGTTGCCATAAAATTTAGCAGCATAAACTACGAAGAATATTTATATAGAAAATATATTTTTTACCAAGAATATTCTTTGAATTAAAGGATTTACTCTTTAAGGTTCAAGGCTCAAAATTCTTCCTAAAATTATTGCATTCTAGCACACAAAATAAAGCAATTATGAACAAATTAATAATTATTACTACATAGTTTGGAAAATTCAAATTAAATTATACAAATAATTAAATAGGCCTATTGTATAATTTGCTGCACAAAACTAATCCAATAAATTAACTAAGGTTTCTTATTTCCTGGTCTTTTGCTTGTCCCGGGATTCCAGGATAAAACTGAACTGAATCCCGGAATAGAATTAATTATTTTTAAGGTATACAAAATATCTTGAAATCAAATGATATAATTATTTTTCATTTTTTAAAGTAATTTTAAAGTTCTGTAACATCCAAAATCATATTAATAATGCTGTGTAAGGTCTATAGGCCTATAATAAAAATTACCTTTAAATAACGTAGAAATTTTCACAAATAGAAAAAAATTAATTAAAGTTTGCTGGAAACTGCATACAACAACAACAAAAAAAATGTTTTGAATTGAGTTAAAAATTAAAAAAATGAACTTCTAATTTAGAAGGTAATTTTCGTTTTTTAAATAAAATATAATACAAAATATTGCAAACTTTTATAAGATTTTAAAAAGCAAAGATGGTCAATACTCCGATAACTCACTCTAATTCTTATTTTAGTAATGAAAAGTCTTGCCACCGAGAATGCCCTTTCCGATTCAATTGATGTGATTGGAATAGTGTTTAATGCATTTAAGAGAAGACAGATATTATGTGTTTTTTCACCTGTAGCCTGGAAGATTTCGAGTTCGTTTTCGAGATTGTAGTACTTCTTTCGCTCTCTAGTATTCTTGATTTGTCTACCTTGGCTGCTTTAATAGCGGCATCAAGCTTAGAGCTCGATAATTCGGCAATTCATTTGGCTTTAATAATCAGGTTTATGAAGAAAAACTTCATACTTGCAGACTTTGTACTCGTTTGTATCCTTGCCCAATTTGCACAATCTGGCGTCAGGCATTTATTGAAGCTACTGGGCATGGTTAAAACTCAAGACAGCGTAAGCACAATTATTCCAGATATTACAGGTTCCGACAAGTAAAGAATTTTTATAGTCCTGCCACAAATAAGCTATATATTGATTATTGACCATTTGTGACATGCTATAACGAGCAAAAATTTAAAAAAAACTAATAGGTAGGTTTAAAATTAATAAATACAAATATATTCTGACAGTGAATGAGTTAATTATGCTTTCTATTTGCAAAATTCCTCAACCTTAACACAAAATAAGAAAAAAAGTGAATTTTTAAGAAATTTGCGGGATTTCCTGGGTTAAAAAAACAACCGGGATCCAGGAATCGCATTTGAGAAACCCTAAAATTAATGTAAAAATTTTTTAGTTAAAACAAAAAAAGCTTTAATTTAGGCATATGTTGTTGTCATAGGATACCACATATGTCATAAATCTGATGTAAGATGTTGATTAATAAAAATAAAATTGAAGTATTTGTGTGGATACCATGAATGAATTATTTTTAGTATGGAGCACTAATCAACAAACTTCTTGACATCCAAGAAATGTAAAATTTTTTTACAACAATGATGATCGTGCACCAATCAATTTAAGAAATGCACCAATTTTTTTTGCAAAAGATGAACTTTTTTAAAGTTTTTGACTGACTTTTTCATTATTATTTTATTTTTTTTGAAAATACAATTATATTTTTATGAGGTTTTAAAATTTATTATAAAATAAAAAATATTAATATTGAAATATATGTAGAAAAAAATGAAAAATGAAGGAAAATGATAGATAAAAATTTTATCATTTTATAAACATCTATTTATTCAAGATAATTCAGGAAGATTTTAAACAGTATATTATTTGCAATTTTTTCATGGAAACAATCAAATATTTTGTTTTAATTTTATGCTGATGTGAAATTTTATCTATTAAATAACACTGAAGAGTTTTGAAATAAAAATAACATTTCAACAAATGAACTAAGACAAAACTTTAAAAAGAATTGAAAAAGAAATTTCAATTTTTTTTTAAAGTTTTGTCTTAGTTTTCATAAAAATTGAAACTGTGGTTAGATAAGCAAGACTGGCTTGCTCTTAATTCAAGCTCATAACTATGTAAGTTGGCAGTGATGTAACGAGTGACTGAACTGATCAGGAACAAAGTAAACAGCATTTCAAGTTCACTTTTAAAACATATTGTTTCTCTGTGTTTTGGAAATTTTTCCAATTAATGTTTAAATGTTACTCTGTTTTATTGTAATGTTTTTGTGGTTATTGCAGTACTAACAGATATTGTTTTTTATTGCAAATTTTCCTGGGACTACTTTAATTTTCTCCAAAACTCATTTACATGATCAGACATATTCTACAACCATGTCCTTAAATAGAAATAATACCACGGAAGAAGTGCAAAAAGTGATGATGATTTTTAATGAGATGTTTAATCTCAATTACATTTCTGTTAATAGGTTTCTTTCACAAATTTCACAAACCTATATGTTCTTTCACATATTTCATCATAATAGTTTAATAATTATTATACTTAAGTTATTTTGACCTAATTAAAAATTATTTCAAACTAAATGAAATAATAAATACTTATAAGTTAAGAGGTTATATTTTAAAAAAGATAAAAGTTAAAACACTTGAAAAACTTCTCAAAAAAGCAACCACTAGAAAATATTCTTCTCAGTCTTTACTAGTTTTCAAAGAAACTTAATTAAAAACCATAAACTAAAACTTTCTTCTAACAAGGAACAAGCTTTATTTAATATTACCTCCAAATGGATTTTTCCCTGGCTATAACAGGGCAAATTAAGTCTTCTCAAAAATTGGTAAAGACTGAGAAGGATATTTTCTCGTGGTTGCTTTTTTGAGAAGTTTTTTAACTTTTCCTTTTTTTAAGATATAATCTTTTAACTTATACAATTCGCTGATTCCATTGTTTACATTTTTTCATAAATATTTTAAATAAATACTTAATTGCCATTATTGAAATAATTTTATGGTGCATTTTACATTTTATTGCAAAGTTTCTTTAGTTTTTGATAGGAAAAATATTTATATCTAAAAAGTTTCTTTCCAATAAAATTTTTAAAAATTTGTTAGAATGCTTTTGAAAATCTTTTTAAAATGTTATATTTTCAAAATAAATGAATTTTAAATTGTATATTACTTATATTTTGAAAATTATTAAATATAGGAGAATGGATGTGTCCAGTTGGAGAAAGTTCACGTGCTGGAGAGAAAAAAGCTCCAGAAATAGAAGAAGATGCAGAACCCAAAGGAGATCCAGAAATGGCACCACTTTATTTAAAACGTCTCTTGCCTGTTTTTTGCTTGACATTTCAACATACTATGATTTGTTCAGTCAGGTATGTTTAATAGTTTAATATTCTGTTTAATAGGTTTAGTATTTTAATTATAATATTTTGTGACTGGAGAGTTGGTAACTCTTTGATGCCTTATCAGGACTGACATCACCATGTCAGTCCTGATAAGGCATCAAAGAGTTCAGTCTAGTTCTGATCAAAGAGTTCAGTCAGTCCTGATAAGGCATCAAAGAATTCAGTCTAATTCGACATGGAAGCCGTGATGGTGAGTTTGTTGGGTTTGAAAGTAGATCGTGCAAACCAGGACTGCAGAGTTGGTTAAAAAAAAACTCAACTCTGACTCCTGATAATTTTAGCAGGCCGACTCCAGCAAAATTAAATACCAAGTCATTTTATGGGGGCAGAGGCACTCATAGGAGGGTACCCTAGTCTGAACTCTGAAAGGAATCTGGAGCATTTACACAAATACTTTTATAGTTAGTATTTTTAATATTTAACTTACATTAATATTTATTNAAATTCCAAACTGATTGGTTGAAACAAAAGGACAAGGCAGATTGTACAGTAAGATTATGGGCAACTGTACATTCAGACACTGATGTATTTTGCAAAGTATATAATGGCATAATACAAGTGAAAAAAGGTTTCCAAGCACTTTTTGATCATGGAGGTACTGCCAAACACAGACAAAAATTTACCTGTGCTTATGATCCAAGACAGTTATACCTGACATTGGTTGTACCAGGTGATAGTTTCCCGACCCCATCAAAATATGATGAAATTTCAAGTAATACTGATAATGGGAGTAGAGAAGGATCAGCAACTGTGAGTTTATATCAATATAATCCAAGAGATGCTGCATACCATGCAGAACTTGTATGGGCCATGAAAACAATATGTAGTAATTTGTCATTTGCTGCTTCTAATAATATGATTCCAACTCTACAAGCAATGCTTCCAAAAACTAAACTTCCTGAAGGAATATCAATGAGTGAGAAGAAATTTCACTATTTAATAACTGAAGCATTAGCTTCCTATTTCCAAAAAAAAATGCTAGAAGCAGCCCACTCTTCACTCTGGCCAGAAATTTCTCTTGACTTTGACTCCATGGCCCTGGTGCAAACAGCCGCATGTGCAAGCGATTGGATTTCAGATGGAGTGCATAGAGACAGTGCGACAGAAGTAGTGCACTCAGACTCCTAGGGTAACAACAAATAAATGTTTAATAATCACAGAAAAAAAAAAGATACAGGATACATATATTGTAATATCAGATTAACTGACCTATCTAACAGAGGTGGTTGTGTGAGAGAGTTTATGTTGGATTGCATGTTGAGATAAATATCTGATGGATTGTCCTCTTGTAACATTCCAACTATGAGAGTTTGTCTTTGGTAGTACAGTTCAATGATAGGAACTGTTTGGAAATAGGTGATATCTTGGGATGGAGATTTGACAATATCCGTTAGTGGAATAGGTGAATCTGTTCCTGGAGTAGGTGATATCTTCATACAGAGAATAGGTAAGTATCTGTTAATGTGACTTAGGAGGTTTTGAACTGACTAATATGTTTGAGATGCTGGTAACGACTGACTCATTTGGCTGTTTATTACAATATAAAAATTGGTAATGCACGGTTGAGAGGTCAACGGATCACGGGAAAGCATCGCTTTTGCCATCAAGAAAGTTTACCTCTAGATGTTCTCAGGTAGTAAAGAACCTTCCCAATTTTTTTTGACTTGCACTTCTAGTTAATTCTCCTTCTAGCAGAGTGCACGATTTCTTCTGTTTAAATTATTTTGATTTTCCTGCATCCTTGCTTTAAGAAAATTCAATTTTTATGAGCAAAACTTTTTCTTATTTAAGTAAAATTTATGATTTGATTTAAATTAAATCATGAAATTATTTATATAATGTAGAAATGACATAGCTAATTATGTAATNGAAATGTAATGACCTTAATGGGTTCAGGCTGGAGCAAAAATAGCATTCAATAAGCATTTTCTTCTATGTAAATTATTTTGAATTTACCTTTTCCTCACTTTAAGAAAATTTGATTTTACAACACAACACAAATCTTTTTCTTATTTAAATAAAATTTATAATTTAATTTAAATTAAATCATGAAATTATTTATATAATGTAGAAATGACATAGCTAATTATGTAATTGATTTTACATGAAGTTTTTCATTTTTTGTAAGTGAATAAAGTGTTTTTAATAAAGAAATTTAAATAATTGTGTACAAAATGGGCTTATATAGGCTTGGCTGAATATTATGTAATGGAAAGGGGAAATTCAAATTCAAAGACGTTAATAAGTCAGTGAATGATGTCATAATTGGTCAGGGAATGTCAGAATCAAAGATGGAATTACCTGTATGGACCCTGCATGTATGTAAAAAAATTGTTTATAAACTTAAAAAAATTCCTCTCATTAAAAATTTGGAAGCCAATGTTGAGTAGTTATATACTCATGCCATATTGTCATTATTAGCCAAAATCAAGTTTTTCAGAATTGTATTTCCTTCTATGGAGATTAAAAATGAGTATTCTAAGCATTCCTATGTTTTTGGCTGTTTTCTAAGAAAATCCCTAAAATTTCTTTGCAGATGAAAATGCCCTATGCCAAGGGATTAATATCTCAAGCTGACAACACTGCTGCTGCTTCTAAATTAAAATTAATATACAATGAAATTCCATTAACATGGCATTTGGTATGCCGGCAAACTCGATAAGCCAGCATGTTCCGCTCATCTTTGGGGGGAATTTCGTGCAGCGGGTTTCGTCTGTATTTATATGTAACTAGTAGTTAGTTAATTAAAACTAAAAATAATAATTAAATTTTAAAATATTTAACTTAAATTTAAAATTAAATTAAAATTTTAAAACTCTGTTCTTTATATTGAAACAAAAACTTAAACCATAGCTAAAATAAAATTCTAATTAATTAATTAATGTAAATTAAAATTGAAATCAAATCAATTGAAACATTTCATTTGGGAAGGTGCAGATAAAGTACTTGTTGGTCTTGATTGATTTGGTTGGGCCTATATTTCATGCAGGCAGAGTTGAGTTTCTGTTTATAGCACTTCTTTGTAAAGGGTTAGTTTCGGTTTTGGTAGTGATGGAACATTTTGCTTTTAATTAATATGTAAAATATATAGATAGATATAGGTAAAAGTATTCAAAGCACAAAGTAAGATTCTAGTTAATTAAGAGTGTTCTTGTTTCAAATCAAGTAAGGGTAGGTATAATCTGGAAAAATTGAAATGGTGTGTTAAACAATCATAAAAGATGGATTTGTATAGTTTTACATGCAAAGATATGTAAAATTGTGCCCAGGGAATAAAAAAAAATCAGAAAAAATTTCATTGTCCGACAAGTCGGCATATTTGTTAAATTAATATCGTTGTAACAATGTTGCTTTCTTATTCATCTGCAGGCAAAAGGTCCTTGTTATTTATGAAATCATTAATAAAATATTATTTTACTTATTCTATTTGAAATCTGTTTATTTTAGATTTATAAATTTATTTTTAAATTAATATTTACACATCTCGAAGCATTAAAAAAAGTAAGCGTTTCTGATCATGCTCATAAAAGTTTCATTTTCTGCTGCTTATCGTATGATTTTGTTCATAATAAGAATTGTTAATTTTATTTAAAATTACTATAATAGTCGCATTACAAAAATGGAAAATTTATATACAAATAAAATTTTGAAATACTGTACATTAAACTATTGAATTGTAAATATATTTTGTGTTGATCTAAATAATATACATTTAATGTTAATTTTTGACAAATTATATATATTTAAATGATCAAATAAAATTAGTAAAATATGCAAAAAATAATTTTCTAAGTATTGCTTTATTTTATTGGTAATTTTTTTTATTCTTCTGTTCTATTTTAACACGTGCAGAGAAGTGACCGATCATGTGGTCAACACGTGTTTACTCACTTCAGATTGTGATTGACCAATAAAAATTGTGATACCAACAAACTGTTGGTTTATAGCAGGTTTTAAGTTAGAGTATAGATGATGGATGTAATAGTTTGAATCCACTCAATATTACACCATCAAAGTACAAATTCCAAACTGATTGGTTGAAACAAAAGGACAAGGCAGATTGTACAGTAAGATTATGGGCAACTGTACATTCAGACACTGATGTATTTTGCAAAGTATATAATGGCATAATACAAGTGAAAAAAGGTTTCCAAGCACTTTTTGATCATGGAGGTACTGCCAAACACAGACAAAAATTTACCTGTGCTTATGATCCAAGACAGTTATACCTGACATTGGTTGTACCAGGTGATAGTTTCCCGACCCCATCAAAATATGATGAAATTTCAAGTAATACTGATAATGGGAGTAGAGAAGGATCAGCAACTGTGAGTTTATATCAATATAATCCAAGAGATGCTGCATACCATGCAGAACTTGTATGGGCCATGAAAACAATATGTAGTAATTTGTCATTTGCTGCTTCTAATAATATGATTCCAACTCTACAAGCAATGCTTCCAAAAACTAAACTTCCTGAAGGAATATCAATGAGTGAGAAGAAATTTCACTATTTAATAACTGAAGCATTAGCTTCCTATTTCCAAAAAAAAAATGCTAGAAGCAGCCCACTCTTCATTCTTTACAATTAGTTATGATGAAACTAGCAGTGTGGAAAGTAAGAAAGAGTTACAAATATTGATTTGGTTTTGGTCTGAGCAAAAAGAACAAGTTGTCTGCAGACACCTAAATACATGTTTTCTTGGGTGGGCAGACTCAGAACCTTGCATACATACATTATCAATGCTATTGATGATGCCAACCTGTCACTGCACAAACTTTTGATGATAGGATCAAATGGTCCTAATGTTAACCAAAAATTGTTATGACTTTTTAAGGAAGATGTACTGGGAATTTGCAAGAAAAGCCTTGTTGACATTGGAACATGTACGATTCATATTATTCATAACACATATCTTAAAGCATTAAGTGAACTGGGTGAAGATGCATCAGAACTTATTGTGGCAGTTTACAGATTTTTTGATGGATTGCCTGCTTTGTGGAAAAGTTATGAAGCTATGCAAGAAAAGCTCAAGTTGCCCAAGCATAAATTTTTAAAACACTCAACACGTTGGCTGACATTCCATGATGCAGCATCAAGGTTAATTGAGCAGTGGGAGAGCATAACTTATACTTTAATAAGTAGTACTCTTTCAAGTAAACAAAGCATAATGTCAAGCACTTTGCACAGAAGTATATCTTGTTTGTTGAAGATTCCTTCCATGAAAGCAGAAGTACTACAAGGCATTTCAAGTACAGAAATTTTCCCAAAATCCACATAATTTTTTCAAAGAGAAGAACCTCTAATATATCTCCTGTACAGCAAACTGTGGGACTTGCTTCTAAAGCTAGTTACTAGAATTTTGAAAGTAGATATTTTGAAGCTTGTTTTTTAGTCTAAGTCTGCTATACCTGATAGTTATGTATTAAATCCAAAGAAATTATTTGACAAGACAAATCTTTTGCCATTAGTGGAAATTATTTGCAGTGCTGAGGTTGCCAATGAATTGAGTAAATTATCTCAAAAAGATCAGTTGCATTTTTGCAGTTGCTTACAGAAACACTATGTTGTGGCTTCCACATATATGATAGAAAAAGCTCCAATTCAATGCAAACTGTTGAAATCATTGACATGTCTTCAACCAAGTAATATTAGTGAAAAAAGCACTTATAAGGATATTGTAAGCATTGCAAGATTTCTTCCATGTGGCATTGCTGAGGATACTTTGCAGGATGAGTGGCTGCTACTTCATTTTGACTGAGTTGAGTGATTGGACAGACTCAACAGATGAGAGAATTCATTATTATTAGAGTCCATTATTTTAAATTGGTTGACTCCGTTGGGAATGCAAGATATCCCAGTGTAAGCAAATTGGTGAAATCAGTATCGACCTTCTCTCATGGCAATGTGATGTGGAACAGGAATTTTCAATTTCACGCTGGGCACTTCCTCCTGATAGAGCATCAATGTCAAAAAAGAATGCCTAATTCACTTTTGATTGTTAAGGAGGGAGTAAACATGTATGACCAAAGCCACACCTTGTACTGTACCTATTATAAAGGATCTACTGAAATTAGCTGCCTCAGCACACAGAAATTATCAAGAACAATTGGAAAATGAAAAGAAGTTAAAAGAAGAAGAGAAACAGAAAAAAAGAGCAGAAGAAGAAGTACAGAAACATTTTGAAGAACATCAAAAGAAAGCTGTTTGTGACAAAGAAAAGATTGTCACTGCAGCAGAGTTTAAAACAGAAAAAAAGTAGAAGAAAGTGAAATACAAGACAGGCCAAGTTTTGTTAGAAGCAGCAAACAAAAAACTGGAGAAGGCCATTAATAGCAAGAACATGAATGAAATAGGGCAGCACATGTCATGCTTGTTAGTGTTAAGTGTTTAAAAGCAAGAGGAAGCAAAAAAGGAGGAGGCTGAAAACATCCAGAAAAATCGTAATAAAAGAAAATTATCTTTCATGACTGATTATTTACAGAAGCCAAAGACTTATTAAGTATTCATGGTTTACTGGAAATATTACAGTATATACAGAAAGTTTGAAATTGTATTTAACCATAACAATAAAAAACTTTTACTGCTATTTTGCTGATTTTTCCTTTCATGTTTTCACTTTGTTTTATCACTATTGCACTCACTTTTTACTCACTTTTTCAGAGGGAAAATGGACACTCTGAGGCCTGAAAGTGGCATGCTTACTTAGTGCTAAATCTTCTAGACTGAAAATGTAGTTCTGATATTACTAACTAATGAGCTTGATAAACTTTACATAAATAAATGTCCATTCAACAATTTTTGATTGAAAATAGTTTTATGCTGTAGAAACATTCATTATTGATTAGAAAATCTGACTATCGTAAGTTCTGAGTTTGTTGTAGAAATTCTAATATATAAATACGAGTATTAATCAAAATTGTATATTAATAAAAATTATAGAAAAATAATAATCAAAAGGAATTATTGATTTGTTCAAACACCATTATTCTCTAGGAATTATCAAATATTACAATCAAAATTACAATATTCTCGAAATATTGTAATTTTGAAATGCATCTGGGTAAAATAAAGTTGTTGATTGGCTAATATTTTTGGAGTCTGTGGATGTGATAATTTTTAGAGAATAACTGTGTTTGAACCAGTTATATATCGATATTTGAAAAATGGAATAGAAGTGAAAAGGTAAAAAAAGTATTTATATTAAGAGGAACAATCATTACTAAAATATGTTGAAATGTCTTGTTAATTTTCTAACAATTTTTTATTTTAGGAAATCTAGTCTGAATTTAATATGCAAGATGACTCATTATATACAACCTCCTTTATTACAAGAATTGTGTAATCCTAACACTGGTGTTCCTAATTTTGCTTCACAGTTAGTAGAAGTTATATCTAGTGTTTTGGATAGTGAGGTATGTTTTGAATTAAGTCATATTCTTTAAACTAATTTATGTATTTATGTAGGTAAAAAATCTCAATAGTTTTAAAAGCAAATGTGTTAATTTTAAGCTTTTCTGTAGAATTAATATACTGTATATGGAAGTAATGACTGCATGTGTAATAGACTTGATGAAGAATACGTTTAAAATATATAAATTGTTGTAATTATATTTAGAACTTATTTATTTACTATATTTAGTGTTTTAAATGTATTTATAACGTTTGTTGATTTCTCATTTTTATTAAAAAAAAAAAAAACATAATTTCATAATCATAATGTCTATCTCTAATGGATTACATCTTCAAATTTCTGTTTGTTATTTTTAATTTTATTACTATAAAGATAACAACAAATCTGTAAACATAATGTTTTTTACAGTTATTATTTTTTAAAATTTTATTTCATTTAATTGATATTAAATATATATTTTTTAAATTTAAATAAAATTTCAAAGAAATTTTGCTGTTTATTACTTTCCCCGCTCTGTTATGTATATAAGAAAGTGTGTTAGGGGATTGAGGCAGTTGGTCAAAAAAATGAACCCTTCAGATTTTTACATTTTTTGAACTTCAGACCTTGAAACATCAATACATGCAAAAATTTGGGGTAATTTTTGTATATATGGATGTTATTGTGTAGGGGGCACAGTTTTGTTCACCTTTTTAAAAGCTTACTAACTCCTGTGCTTTCTGTTGAAAATTTCTGAAATTTTGCAAGGAGGTTTGTTTGTTAAGTGATTGATGCCATTAAATTTTGGTGATTAAAGGTCAAGGGAGTGGGGAGATAAAGGGAGATAAAGGAGATGTGTATCTCTAGTTAGGTCAAACTTAATGACAATTTTATTCATGATTAGAATTCAGTTTTTTTTATAAAATCCATCTCTACCCTCAAAATTAAGCTTTTTGCCATTTTATAATAATTGAAAATATAAAAAGTTTTTTTAAAATAAAATATAACATATGGTGCCACCAAATGTTATTGGGAATGTGAAGCAACTCGTGGCTGGAATTTTTTAAAATATATGTTACTAGATCAGTTTAAGTATTTTTATTGGTTATCCATATTTTTTTAACATAATAATATTAATAATAAAAGTTTAAGCCTAAATTTTTTAAAGATGCAATTAAGAGCAACATTTATTCAAATTTTATTCTATAACTGAATATAATAATGCAGTTCTGTAATTCAAATATTAATTAAAACTAAAAGACAGTGGCGTGTCGTTCATGAAAGCTGCTGAAGCGCTGCTTCCCTTGTATTTTCTATGATATAAATACATATTGTGTGATTATTTTCATATTTTAATGTACTTTGAATTTCTTAAAATTAATATTTTATTATAACTGCATTATGTATTGTATTACTAATTTTTATGTATGTGAAAAATAATGATAAGATTGCTATTGTATATTCGAATTAAATTCGTTTATGTATATTCCCAATGGAAGTGGTGTATTGTTGAATACGGGACAGCTTCCAAGCGAAAATATTTGAATCGTGTAAAGCAGCCAGATTATATGCATTCATGCATGCACTTTACAGAGCACCAACCTCTGGTGATTTAGCTGGTGGATTCTACACACCAAAATATTGTATAATGCTTCTAATGATTTTATCTAGGTCTGGCACAGCTTCCCTATCATTAAATGTTACCACCTGCCACTGCTAAAAGAGTACTTTTTGGATAACATCTGATTGGATAACTTCTTTCATCAGTACAATAAAATCCCTGCAAATGTTTTTGCAATTCATTAGGTTGTTGTATAGAACTGATCATAATTATCTATAAAAAGAACAGTTCATTCATTAACCCGCAATTGTATGCAGAAGCAGTGATCTTTCCACACGTACTAGTTTTTCATGGCCATTTTTCACCAAGTTGACTTATGTAGCTGTGCTTTCATGATATCCACATGTTACTTTATAAAAATTTCAGTTGAAAAATTTTTTCACTAATCATAGGCCCTCAAAAAACTTAAGTAGAAAATTGCTGCCTTATGAATGTGATTGTGTACAATTTTTTTTCATTGTCACACAGTTGTGGAAATTTTCCATTCTGACATTATTTTTGGTGACCTGATATCATCAAAAATGTTACAAGTCTCTCGTGATTGTCACAAGAGATAATCATGACATCATGAATGTTTGTCATCTATACATGATGTAATGATAGTCTGCAAATCATTAAGACCTTGAATGCATAAAATTGAATGCTATGACTTTCAAAAATTTAAAGATTTTTATGGATGAAAAATGCCTGAAAAATACATAAAATTATTTTCTGGTTCTTCAGAGAAACATCTTAGCACTCCTGTCTTTTATTTCCAGTTGAATTTGTTTGCAAAGTTTGAAGGGATTCTGGTCAAATATATTGTTCTATAAACAAAACAATATCTCATAAACTAAACAGTATATGTGCTTAAAATTTGTCATGTGCAGAGACTTCTACAAAGTGTTGCATTTTGGATGATTTTTTTTAATTAATGTATTTCTATTTTTTTCTATTACTTTGGTTTTTTTTCCTAGACCTTAATGAATGAACTTTTTCTTAGGTTAGTTTTCCATAAAATAAGTTTTTAGTATAACTGTTAAATATTTTAATGTGATTGATTAAGGATCAACTTTAAATTTACACATTAATTAATAACTTAAATTAAATTTGTTTTATTTTTGTGTTTTTATTTTAATAGGAATACGATGATGGCTATTTGGTTGCTCTTCATATAATTCAAGATGTTATGACAAAGGGTTCTGATATATTTCTAGAACATTTTGCAAGATTAGGAGTTTTTAGTAAAGTTTTAGCATTAGCTGGTCCTCCAGAAACTGAAGATGAAAAATTAAAATATAAAGATGAATCTGTAAGATTTCAGCCTAATTTTTCATTGTTAGATTAGTATCTATAACAAGATATAAGTTATAAATTATAATGAAAAAGTTTTTATTTCAAATACACAAAAATCTTCATTGCAATATTATGTTCATGTATGAAGTATTATATAGTTATTTCCAATCAAAATACTTGTGAGATAAGCAGAGGGCCATTGGGTCAATCCCTAATGATCTCTTACTCTGAACGGGCTGGTAAAGCCTGACCTCTGTGTCATCGGATGGCTAAAGGAGGACAAACTCAAGTGGGGAAGGTCGTGAGCAAGCGATAGGTGTCCTTGGATAGATAGGAGACAGGTTTAACAATTAAACAAAGCATTTATTAAGATCTAAGATTAACATACAGGATGTTAGATGCGATTAAATACTAAATATATACAAAATGGCAGCCCTTAGCTAAGTCTAAGTTGTGGGGGGGAGAGTTTACAAATCACTAACAAAAATATCTCTATGAGGAAGCAAACGGTAAGCATTGATAATTTCATAGGAATTGTAGTCCTCGTCAATATGGCGAACTGTATGAAAGTCCGAAGCCGTGATCTGTCTTCAATCGGTGTCTTGTCCTCTTGTTGGATCAGGTCTGTTGTATGGAGGTCCGGGAGACGTATTGCTCACAGTTACCAAGTATAACTTCCAGTTTGATTGCCCTGAACTTCCAGGGGCTCAAACTTTTATTCACTTGTGAGGGAAAGAGGTCACATGATTGCCCATGTTGACGATGACAGTGCATTTTCTGACACCTGTGTGTCAACTTTCCTACCTGATTGCTGACCATCGGGGTGACATCCAATCTGAAACTATTCGATAGTTTTTCTATCAGAGGATGTTTACATAGAATTATTTTAGTAAAATGAGTTAAAACAAACCCCAAAACTCGTGGATCTCACTTATGTAGTTGTGTAAATTTATAGCTTTGTATGTTAGTTAATTTTATCTAATTATCATTTCATACTGAAAAATATAGTATTTAAAATATAAACTGCAGTAACAAATATATCTTTAATTTAAATTCAATAATTGTATTTTCATGTCAATCTAAATAGCAATTTCACTGGTAACTCAATATACAGGGTTCCTATGCATCTGGAAAGTCAGGAAAAATTAGGGATTTTCATAAGTTTGGAAAAAGTTTTGGAAAATCCAGGAAAATTGTCAAAAGGTCAGGAAATTTGCCACTTTGGCTGCCTTGTTGATTTTTTTGCTGACTATAAGTGTGGCCATCTGCAAGCAGCAAGAAGTAAAGTGGTGCAATACAAAAAGGGTGAAGGAAAAAGGGTGCAGAATATTTTCAGGACCCAAAATTTGTCCCAAGCATACACAAAATTTTCCCAAAAATTTACAATGTACAAAAAATGATAAATAATACCATTTAAATTAAAAATACTTACCATTTTTCATTTTAATAATTTTGATTTTGTAACAACACAATTTCTGATTTCCCCCCCTAGTTTTTATTTTATAAAGTTCAGGAAATTTATTAATGGATAAATTTAATAAATANCCCATAGGATAACGCACCATTGAGCAACACAATACATAACTTTATCCAATTAAAAATTACCTTAGCAGCACAGTTTGCTCCTTTAGAGATGCAATAACCGATGAAAACTGGATCGGCCATTTTTACTAATATATTATCAACACAATAAACGTGAATATGTTCTATTCCACGCCTTTCCATATCTTCTAATATGCCTTTACGTTTCAAAGCCCTATAAAGACCTCCGTTTCCATCTATTAATAAAATATTAAAATTTTTAATTAAAAAATTTCACAATTGAATTTCTTATTTAAAAGAATTTCATTAATTTATAATACAAACCAGGAGATTTTGATATTTTCCACGGTTTTTCTAATATAATTTTTCCATCGAACGTAAAGCATGGTAACATATTCTGTTCGAACATAATAATATCTTCTTTATTTAAACCGAAATAATTATGCTGATCGAAAAAATCCATAGTTGGTTCGATTGTATGTTCGCTCGTCATGATATACCTTAAGAATTAAGTGTTTAAACAAATAAATATATAAATAAAGAAAAAAATAAGATGCATTTTTCTCTGTTGTTTACATTTAAGACAGTAGACTGTTATTTCAAAATAGCTTATGAAATTAAAAGCAACCAGAATTTGGAAATTAGGAATCAGAGCCTACTTGAATGGTGTAACTCAGTTTTTGTCAAAGCAGTTTTAATAGAAAATATTTCTAAGCTTAATTTTAATAATTAATTTCATAATGAAAATCTGTTTCCAGGGAACAACTTTGACTTTACACACATATTTTTCTTATTGGTATGTAAAACTGTTAGTTTTGAGAGTAACAAATTTGTTATATACAATTTCTTTTTCAAAAAAATGGTGCAATATTTGTATAATTTTTTACTTTGATATTCAGTGCTTTTTTAAACAAAAATAGTACAGTAATGTTTACTTATAATGAACCAATTTTAAAAGTATGAATGAAACACTCTTAACTAATTTCACTGCACACATTAATTTATGTAATTTTTCATCACAAATTTAAATTTTTATACTTTCTCTACCAGTTTTCTTACTTCACTAAGGTATTTTCTGAGGTTCATATACTGGTCCATTAACAATAAACTTAGAAATTTACACTGTTTATGATTTTCATTTATAAGTGCTGTAATTTAAATTTTAAATGTTAATTTTCATCTGTTATTAACGGTTAAATGATTTTGTTCGATTTCTTGCCCATTTAAGTATTGGAAATTGAAAGTATGCTTTTGATTGGCTAGAAAATTTCATTTGTAAATACAGTATTTAAAATTTGAATTTCAAAATTAAACAGTCACAAAATTTATGCTGTTATTGGTTAGAAAAATTCTGTTTACTGACATTGGTTATAAAGAATAACAAAATGCACATAATCTTGAGGCGTATTGACTCTTGCCATTTGCTAAGTCGGAATCGCAAAGTATTTTGCACTTGTCCTTGTGAAATACAATGACTAATATGTAATATGATGAAATATGTGCTAATCAGTGTAAACCAAAATGTAAGTCATTTATGTTACAGACTAAATATGAAATTCTTAAAAGGTTGGAAAATGGTGTAAAGCAAAGCAAATTATATAAAGAAATGAATATAACTAAATTGACAGTTGCTACCATTTGGAAGGAAAAAGACAAAATATTCGTGCATTTTGAATGTGATAATTTGAATGTTAAAAAGTTAGAAAATCTACGCATGATGAATTAGAACAATTATTGTTAAAATGGTTTTCTCAACAGACTTAAAAACACAACTATTAGTGATGTTATATTGCAAAAGTGGAAGAGTTAGGTAGCAAATTGGAAAAAAGTGCAGAGTTTAAATGCAGTAGAAACTGGATTGAGAGATTTAAAAAAAGACAGTATTGGAAGTCGAAAAATTGTTGAAGAAGCAGCTGCAGTAAACATGGATATGATAGAAGACTGATTGCAAAATAAGTGGTCCAAAATTAGAGAAAATTTCCAAGATTGTGATATCTTTAATACAGATAAAATGAGTCTTATATATATATATATATATATAAGCTTACACCAAATAGGATGCTAAAATTCAAAGGAGAAAGCTTTGCAGGAGGAAAATTATCTAAAGAAAGAATTTCTATTCTACTGGCAGCAAATCTTGTGGGAATGGAAAAGAGAAAATTGTTAGTAATCAGTAAATTGAAAAATTGAAGATGTTTCAAAAACTGACGTCTACCAATAAACTACAAATGTAACTGAAGAGTTTGGATAACCTTTGACATTTTCTGTGGTGAACTACGAGAATGGGATGAAGAACTGAGGCAAAAAACAAAAAATTTTATTATTGATTTACGACTGTTTAGCACATCCTGACATCAAGAATTTACAGTGCATTTCACTGGTGTTTATGCTGCCCAATTTAAGCTTAAAACTACAACCTTTAGATCAAGGGTTATACACAACTTAAAGAGCGGCTATCAGCAAATTCTCCTTTTGAAAATGGTAACATCTGTAGATAATAGTGAAGACTTGTTTTCTATAAATCTTCTTGATGCAATAAACTTCATCCATATGGCATGGCAAAATGTATCAATGCAAACAATAGCAAATTGTTTTCAACATGCTGGCTTTCTACAAACTAATGGAGACGAGTTCAATTCAGATGACAACATTCTGACCAATGAATTTTTGTAAAGTTAACTTACAAATGAAATAAAAGGTGTTCAAGATGTGCTTCCTCTGCAGAAACCAGATGCATTTTCTAACTACAGTTTTGAAGAATATATCAGGGTTGATGACAATGTTCTTAGTAGGGAATTTTTGACTGATGATGATATAGCTTCGGTGTCTACCAAAAATAATGAAATTAGTGAGGATAAGATGATGATATAACATACACACAGTGTTGACATTCCAATAATGTTAATTTCTGAGTTTTGCAAAACATTATTGTTATTTGAGAGTTTTTACAAATGCAATGCATAATACTCCACAAAATATTTTAAATAGTTTTGCTGAAGTGGAACTGTATATTACAGAATGCTATGTGACTAGCAAAAATTGATAAACAAAAATAACAATTTTTTAAGTAACTATGCTCATTTATATTGATGTTTTAACAGGCAGCTTCCTATGTAATAATTTGTTAACTTTTATCTTTTTGACATTAAAAGTTTGTTTTAATTTTTCAAAATTAGACTGTTTTATTTCTTATTTGATATAATGAAGCAGTTCCAACCCTTACAGGTTCATTATAAATGGACACTACGGTATTTAAATTTACTAAAGATTTCAATTCTGAGCTATTACATTCTTATTGCATGTTTTGAATACAAATGACCTTTAATAATGGGTGTATTCTGTTTGGCAATCCATTTGTGATGCAAATAGCTGCATGTACGGTGCAACTCAGCATGCTGTTCTGCATACATCCCAAGCAAATGTTGCATTACTTAGCCCAGGGGTTGCAACCTGTGGCTTTTTTAATGCATAATT